TCTGGGAAGGTCTTCTTCATAGTCCACTTCCAGTCACTGACACGCCGTTTAGAAGTAACGTTCGTGCCAGTCCCCTGCTGTACTTGGTCAATTAAAAGTCAGCTTTTATCAACTCGGTGAATCACTTAGTACCAAAGTCAAACGTACCGATAGGGATTCCAGAAGGTCACACACCAGCTCCCCAATAGTATGTTCAGTTGTCTATCTGAATCACACCTTTTGGAGCGTTCTGACACCCAAACATCTATTGGTGCTTACTCTGGGCATCGTACTATACACTTGAGCGGTTCAGGCGTTCACCCGCCTCGCGTCATAAGCCACTACGTCAAGTCTTTCAGGTTCACAGGAACCGGCCAATCCACAATGGCCTTAACCTTAGCGGGGTCCGCTCTAAGGCCACGCTTCCCAATGAAGCACCCCACAAAGGGGGTCTCTTCTGCGCCGAAGATGCACTTATCCGCATTGGTGTACAATTTGTTCGTGTCCATGCACTCGAGCACCGTTCGTAAATGGTCAACGTGGTTCTCCACATCCGACCTCCCGTGCGCCGCACGACTGTGGATAAAGATGTCATCAAAGTACGTCTGTGCGTAAGCCCGATGGGGCCGAAACGACTGCATCACCAGACGATTGAACGTCGCCGGCGCGTTCGACAGCCCTTGGGGCATCGCCAACCACTCCCAGAGCATACCGCTCGGAGTACTGACCGCAGTGAGCGGGATGTCACTAGCTCGCATGAGCAACTGGTAGTAACCATCGACCAGGTCGAGCGCGCTGTACGTACACCCAACTATGTTGTTCTGTAGAACATCCTTGCAAGGGATCGGCGTTTGAGCCGGGATCGTAGCTGCATTCAGCTTGTTAAAGCATGAACGATACCCCACTTGCCATTTGGATTTCTGGCACAGAATGTTGGCGTGGAGTGCGGAGACTTGCTATCACGCACTAGCCCAACTTCGTGCTTGGCACGGAAGAAAGCATCAATGACGTCACATTGCTCTTTAGGAAGAGGCCACTGCCGAGTTACGCAGTATTTCGTTCTTGGAACAAAGTCAATCTCGTGACGGACCCCTCGATCTGAAGGTAGCCCCATGGGCGGTGTCTTCGACACGACGTCACCATACTCAGTCAACAGTGAGTGAAATGGATCCAAACGATCTTTGAGGATCTCAGATCCGCTACGCGCGTTCCGCGCCTTCTTGGTGTCCTACAAGGCCGCGTCTTCAACCACCGACGACGAGTTGAGTTGTTCTTCCGGTCGAATCATGACCACTTCGGTTAAAGCGCCAGCCTTTATGACATCACCAAAATCAGTCAAGGACATCTCGTCCAGCTATAGCAGTGCATTACAGGACGGCAAAGTGTCCAAACTGATGTTGCCATCAACTTCACCCGTCACTCCATTCACGAGTGTGTACAACTGCTCACTGCAGTCGCGTGGAGCCGTATCGCTCGACACGCTGGACACCTCGCCCGATGAAGACAACGTCTCAGACGCTCTGCGTCTCATCCTTCTCCTCCTCCGCGCTCGAGCCCGGGTGGAAGAGGGCGCCATGGCAAAAGCCTCGCTGCCACGGCCAAGTGCAGAAGCACTTACCTTCCCTGAGGAACCGGTGTCAAGCAGGACACCCGGCGACACTTGCCCTTGACCCGGTGGATTACATGCCACCCCATGCGTCGACAGACCGTCGCCAGCGCTCAAACGAGCACTCTGCAACTCGCCATGCGGCCGAGCGCTACTCAGTGGAATACGCGCCACAGCGCAATCAATATCCGGGCCACACCCAATAACACTTGGCGGATGCCCAACCGTGCCTTGCGGCACTAACAC